TATCTTTTGGACTTGGCTGCACACATTTGCACCATAACACTAAAATGATTAATAATATTATAAGAGTATGTCTGCATATGCTTTTGGCCTACCAAAGGTTCAACAGATACTATGTTCTAAAAGATTTCAGCTGAGCTGCAGGATAGAGAAAACAAATTAGTCTCCAGCTTGTGGAGAAGGAATGTGGTTTTAAAAAAACAGCAGTTTTTTCAGCTCATTAAAAATATAGTGACCTTTTGGTATTCATGAAAATGGGGGACTAATAGTACCATTTAGAACCAATCACGGGGTAGATGGATGCTAACCAAACTTCATAATGCTCTGCCAAAGCACTTGTATGCATAACCAACAAGAAGGTCAAAATGCCTGAAGCTGCCAGTCTTGTCTATCCTGGGGTTTGGACCAGTACAATTTTTCTGTGAAATTCTCTAATGTAGACAAGGCTTCAGAGAAGGATTTCATAATATGGTGTTGAAAAGTCCTCTTGATGATAAATAGTAGATAATGCTTACTAACTGCCATATGCAAAGAGCTGCGTAATTTCTACACATTTCTTCTCTCACTGAAAGATGCATCTCCTTTGAAGAAAACGACTCTGGGTTGCATCCTCAACTGCAACTGAGATATACTCACTTCATCTGAAGATGGGGCAAAGGTGGCTTTCAGCCAAAGCTGGGGCCCTCCAGCAGGGCCTGATTAACCTTTTGTGGGCCCTGGTGCCAAGCATATTTGTGGGCCCCCATGTAGTCATTGTGGGCTCTGAGTGTGGGCCTGGTGGGCAGGGCCATTGGTGTCATAGTATACCCGGTACTGAATCTCAGAGACATCTTTCATTTTGATCACACACCTCTGCATGACTATATGCATTGCCATATTACACAGTTCCCTCAGCCCCCAGTTTTTCTCATTGAGCTGTACACCCATGTGAGTTTACCAGTGTCCACAGTGAGCAGACCTTTCAAAGTGATCAGGGGAAACGCCTGACAGATTTATCTCTTTCCTCGTTCAGATCTTCTATAGCCATGTCTCTAGTACCACCCTATATCACCAGTCACTGTATGTGGTTCTGGTCTCAGCTCAATAAAGTTCCACAGCCAGCAGATATCTGATTAATTCTGACAAATGCCTCCCTCAGCACCCATCCTGCCATTTGAGCAAGCCACTTGCAAACACCATTTCCCCAAAGTGAGGACTTAGCTCCTGGGAACCTGAAGTCACCAGCCTTTCTCCCTCTGCTCCCATCTACATGCTAGTCTAGTACCTGGTCACCACCACCTCTCCCCATGCCTGTTTCCCTTCTACATGGGATGCTATTCTCCCCTGCAAACCTGACCTGCTTCCTTTTTCCCTGCTTCCCTTGACATTCCTTTCCTATGGATGATCTCTGTTCCTTGAGGTTAACTCCAGTTTCTTTATCAGCTCCTAGCTTAATGGCCCCCAGTAGTCACAGAGCCACCTGCAGCTTCTCTGGCTACAGCCATAGGGCCAATTGCCAGAGGCCAGCCTTAGATAGCTGTAGCCACTCGTCTAAGGAGGGGTGGCAATTCCAAGGCTGAGCATGCTTGAATCTTGGAACGGCGGCACTATGAACTCTAAATCGTCAGCGCTGACCCTAGGCAGCTGCAGACTCTGCAGTTAGGTACTTCCTCCTCTAGGCCATAGCTTTAAGTACCTGAGATGCCCATCTCCTGCAGCAGAGGCCACCAATTCCCACGCACCCCTCAGCTAGCACACAGTCGAGCAGAAAGTGTAGCCTGAATGATTTTGGAGGCTGGAGTTCCAGGGGATTCCCATCCCTGAGCAGCAGCTCTGCAACAAGCTCACATGGCCCCCCCTCCGTTGTGGGACCAGGACCCTATGAAGACAGTGGAGTTACCCTGTGTATAATCAGTTCTGTCCAAAGCCCGCTGAAGTGAGTGGGAGTCTTTTCATTGTCTTTAATGGGCTGTGTGTAGAAGCAAAGGACCCCATTCTAGACTCTAGGAGCAAAGTGCATTCTATGCTGCACTGGTTTACTATTGTAACAGGAAGGTCTCACATTACCGAGTGAATAAGCAACACCTACAGCACCTAACTTTTTCTGAGAGGCTTCCCACCCAATTACTAAATGTAAACCTGCTTCGCTTACCAGGGCTGAAAATATCAGGTAGTATGGTCACAAAAGCAAGGCACTTCTGAATTCTGTAGGAATTTTGGATGTGCACAGAACACAGACAAGACTGGTTCCCGCATGGTTACAAAACTGCAGTAAAGGGGAACAATTTTCAGCTTGTGTGATTGGAGGATATCCATAATAATATCCATATTATAAGACTGTTCTACATAAATGAGGAAAAGTTGAGGTGTCTTTGTTATTCTTTTGTTCCACTCTTCGTTTCTGTGGGGAATTTACCAAAGCAATATTACGGTCTTCTTTTTAAACAAACAAAACTAAAAAAAATGGTAATGGCTGTTGAAAACAGCAATTCCAGCCCTAGTTAGCACTGGGAAGATATCAGCATTTGTTGCTCAATTTTATCCTACTTTTTCTACAGCAAACAACAGTGGATCAGGATATTTGATTGGGAAGAAATGAAGTAACAGCAGCAGCTTAAATTGAGCTTGAGCACTCCTGAATTTTGAGGGTGTTCAAATCTGGAAGGCAAGCGCTAGATTTCCTTTCTGAATATTAGAGAAATCTGGAAAGAAAAAGCCGATTTCTGCTTCCATGGCTCAGAAGTGGAAATCCTCCTGTACTGTACCTAAAGTTTCCCAGGTCCTCTAGTAGAGCCTCCCTTTTCTTACTTATCATTTTAACTTCTAGTGGGATCCAAATACCTCCCTTACTAGGCTTCAGATAGAGAAGTGTACTGTCCATTTAGTCCACCCAGTTCCCTCTTTGGGGGCTGCCAGGCAAGGTCACACCAGCATCCCTAAGCCAGTCTGGGGAAGTCTTCTGAGGGAGATATCTGGGTCAAAACCTTCTACTCCTTGGGCATACTTGTTCCCTACTCACAGTGCCACCCCCTTCTAGCAGCCAGCTCTCCATTCTCAGCAAGCTACAGTACATGGGGTCTCACAGCTTCCCCACTCCCTCCCCCACCCTTTCCTGTTGATAACTACCAAGGGAATGCTGGGAAATGTAGTTCCTTCCCTGCTCCAGGGCTGGCTCTGTAGGCAGGAAGCTGGCCAAGGAACTACAGGTCCCAGGGTGCTGTGGGTTCTCAGCTCCCATGCTGGATCCCTGCTGCTCTGAGGCTCAGGTTCCAAAGAGGGGAGGAAGTGAGAGTTATGGGCCCCCTTCAGAGCTTGGGCCCAGCACTATGGAGCCACTGGCACCATGGTAAATCCAGTACTGATCTCCAGCAGGTAGGGGCGTCCCAGAGCCCCTCACCACAACTTACAGCAGCCTTGTGGCTGACAGTCAGGCCCTAAGTTTTTACACTGTGCTAACTCGGAAATGGCCCCAGAAAATTATACCAAACTTTTAAAGGAATTGTGATCTTTTCAAATAACAAACTTCTGGCTGAGAACAAGGATGGGAAATTTTAGCACAAAGGGGAACTTTCAGGGAGCTATAAGCTTCTGGAGGATGAGGAATATAAAAGAGTGCCCCTTCAGTCAGAATAAAGCAATACACTCACTGCTCATACTACAAGATCTCAAAAGCGATTTTTTTATTACTAAACTACACTGTAGTTAGTGAGAGCAGCTCTGTTATTTCTGGGCTTACAACGTACACTGGCTGTTTAACTTTGTAACTTGTAGTCACTAGCAGGATTGATGGAGCTCAGTGGTGCTGTTGTTATCGTGCCTCTGCGTGGCAAACAGTCTCAGTTCATTTAATCTATGATGTGAAATTCCAACCCTGATTTTACCCTCCCTTCCTTTCCCCCTAAAAATTAATTCACATCAATTCCTGATTAATAATAAAAGGCCCTACCATCAGCATTCAGAGCCCCAGCCGGGGCTGTCATGGCTCAGAGGGCAGAAATCTGCTTAGAGCTACAGGAGAACCCAACTGAATTTGTGGCGTCTCAGTCTATGAATGTGTAAGCACTTCATCTGTTCGCCAAAACACAACGCACTGGGAAGCAGCGGGTAAAGGTAGCTGTATGTATTATGGAGCAGGGCTAGGTGGCAATGTATAAGGGTTCAAACCAATGTGATAAAGATGGGAGATCATTAGTTACAGACTGATTGAACAACAGAAGTGTATGTGTCCATTCAAGTGTTTTCTTTTACAATAAATATCTGTATGGAAAAATAAGACCAATTCATAATATAGATACTCATTTCCTTCTTGATGCTGTTGTCAAATTACTAGTCAAGGTCATGTTAGTTCTTTCCCAGCTTTGGGACCTAGTGACATTGCTTTGACTCTGATTCTTTCTTCAAGGGCTTACAAACAGGAAAAGCACTGGATGGTGGTCACACTTTTAGTCAAGCTGACAAATCTAGAATTATACTTTCGCCTTCTGTCTGGCTAATCGAGGAGAGACAATGACAAGTTCCAATATTAAGTACTCTTTAGCCTTTCTGGTCTAAGGCTGTGTAGCTCTGGATGGAATCACACATGCCCAGACTAGTTTATCTTGAATGGACTGGCAGACAACACTCACTGGCCAATTCCAAACAAAAAAGCCATTGTTTCCTACTTTTGTTCAACCAAGCTCATTGTACTGAAGGGGAAAGGGCTACTGGGCACCAATATGGCTCTGTTAAGCTCTTACTTTGAGTCCCAGCTGGCATTTTCAAGATACTGCAAGAAGGAAGCATCCTGGCACTGATATGGCATTATTGTTAGTAAATCGATACTACTAAAATCCCAGCTGAAACTGGAATGGAATTACTATTTGTTTTCAAATGGAATACACTGCTGTCTCAACCAGTAGATGTTTGGCCAACTATTTAGCACTTGTTTTATAACAATTCTAAATTGGGAATTTAGAAAAAGGTCTGGGGTGATGAAATAAAGCACAAAACCAGCATAGGATCATTGGGCTACTTTTTCACCATACCTCTTCATCTTTCATATTCACGTCCACTTTTTTTGATTGTATGACTTTGGTTACATGGTCAATGTTGTTTTCTCTGCAGTAATCAAATATGTTCTTGTCTTCCTCCCTAATTAGGAAACAAAAGCAAAAAAAGGGGTCTTATTGGATAAAACAAAGGCTACACACATTAGATGCTAGCTGTGCTGCAGACACACTCATTTTAACAGCATCACTGCAGTGGAACAGGTTTCCAATGTTTTGCACGACGACTAATGTGTTTTGTCAATATAAGATAGCTCAGCCTGCTTCTCTAGAAAACACAAGTTAGTTTGAACAACATGCTGAAAGAAAAAGACATGTATACTTAATCCAATAAACTCCCACAAAGAATCTGGAATGTAAGACCATGCGAGTCTTGGCATAAGTCATTTCAAATCCTACTGATTACATCAAGGCGAAATATGGTCCTTTTCTTTTCTCAGCGATGTAGGCAAACCCCCATATAAATGTCACATGCCTTTTCTAATCTTCTCCTCCTATCATCGCTGGTGGCAGAGAGAGAAAACTTTCTTCTTAGAATCAGCCTCCTGCCTGCCAGATTCCTTCACTGAGGTGTCTGGGACACTATAATTCACTAAAATGGAAGTGACAAATCTGGCAAGAGGAGAGACTGGATAACTCTGAAGAGAAAACATTCCATATGCACATATCTCTTAGCCAACAATAACTGGAAAGGGGGGTCACGGAAAATGACATTTTAAAATTGTTTTAGGGGTTCTCCATCATCTCCCAAATCTTGACAGGCTTCACATTACAACAACATACACCACTAAGTAGAAGATGGCCTGGATCCCCCTGACTCCCAGCAACATCTGTGTATGTGTCAAATAGAAGACGATGTTCAAGAAAGAAACCAAGACCCCTCACTCTTCCAAGGAATCAGATACACTGTCTCTGCCATGCAGAATAGGCAGAGCCCTGAAAGTCTGCGGATATCCACTATAGATCTGCAGATATTTGCATCCATGGACCATTTTTGCAGATCGGATGCAGATACAAATTTTATACCCATGCAGTGCTCTAGAAATAGGGACTGACTTTGTGACCCAAAATGAGACCATTCCTTGGACAGCTTTGCTGAAACATTATTTAAAGTTGTGGTCAAACATTCTTTGGGGTAACGTTTCAAAGTGATATGCAAAGATTTCATATTTCACCCTGAAAATCCCACTGACGTACAATGGGAGTTGCCCAGGTAATCCCAAGCCATGACTATGAAGATTTATCACCTTAAGTCTAATGCATGGTGAAGGCCCATTTGTCATCCCCCATCATGCACACCTCTCTGCAGGACATGATAAAGCTCTTCCATGCTGCCATAAGGGGCTGTAAAATGTCGTTAACTCTGTTAACCATACTGTTTCATATTGGCTGGTAAGAACAGAAGGCTTAATGTGTTGTATCACTCCTATCATTTAAAGATCTATTTATACCTCAGATACCTGCAGCACCTTAACTTGTAGATTCCCCTGCACGTGAACAGGCCTGAGTGAATGTGCATCTGCTTTCTGTCACAGAAGCTGGGCATCAGCTAGTTTCAACTTGGGCCACTGATCTGAGAACAGTCGAGCTTTGTGTCAATCTTGCCAATACAGAGCAGTGTAAATCATAGCAATCATTCATAGACTCACAAAAGAAATACCGGTAGTCAGAGCCCTGGTGACACTCCAAGGATCTCACAAAGGCCTTGTCTACACACAAAAGTTGTACCACTTTATCTATACCAGCACAAGCCCCTAGTGTGGATGCAGTTATGCCAGTATGGAAAGGAGAATAAGCTTATACTGGAATAAGCATTTTTATAGCAATAGACTGTGTCCACACTAGGGGCATGGCTACACTTGCAGATGTAGAGCACTTTGAGTTAAACCAGCCTTTGTAGAGTGCAGTAGGGAAAGCGCTGCAATCTGTCCACACTGACAGCTTCAAGCGCACTGACGTGGCCACATTAGCAGCTCTTGCAACGGCCACAGAGAGCAGTGCACTGTGGTAGCTATCCCAGCATGCAAGTAGCTGCAACATGCTTTTCAAATGGGGGTGGGAGGGTGGGGTGGAGTGTGACAGGGAGTGTGTTGTGTGTATGTGGGAGGAGAGAGAGTGGGTTTTGGGGGGGCTGAGAGCATGTCAGCATGCTGTCTTGTAAGTTCAGACAGCAGCAGACCCCCTCTCCCCCCCGTCTCTCTCTCTCTCTCTCACACACACACACAGCATTCCACAGTAATGGCTGCTTTGTCTTGGAGCAGATAAGCATGCCGGTTGTCAGAAACGGAGCTTTCAAAGGACATATCCGCATTCCTGCAGTGATTCCAAAGCAACGAGAAGAGTGGTCACTTGACTTAAGGGGATGTGACGTTTCCGGAGGCTGATCAGAGCACAGTAATGCAACACCTCTCGCCGAGGTGGAGTACCAGGAGCGCTCACTTCTCGCCGAGGTGGAATCAGAGCGCAATTTTTACTTTACTCTTTTGTCTTTTTGTACTTTGTTGTGAATTATGCTTTGTTCCTCATCTCACAATTACTTTTTGCTCCCTCCGTGTCAATGAACCAGTTAAAAAAAGAAAGTGGTGATCCTGAGCTCCTGCTGTAGAAAAAGTGCCAGGACTCACTTCCTCTGACCTCCAGCTCACTTTGAACATTGCCTCTTTGGTATCTCACTCCTCTGCTTTGCATGCAAAGAATCCTTTCCTCTATCTTGGATGCACAGCACACAGTTGTTGACTAGAAAGGTTCAAGGTCTGATAGTTCATCTATAGGACTGGTATTTGGGAATGCTAAAAGATACTCCTCTGACTTCTGATCAGGTCTCAGATGAACAGTCTTCAGAGTTCTAGTCTGTATGCTAAACACAAACTCCCAAGCAACAACCATGGCTTCATTAGATCCAATCATTAAGAGCTCAGGTTCTAAAACATTCCTATTGATAGCTGAATAGCAGCTATACACTTTTTATATTTTCACTTGATTAAGAGAAAGACACCATTAATGTTTAACATTTTGGCTCTATCAGTAGATTTTCTCTTTGGTTCACAGAAAAGAAATCCAAGTAAATTATTTTTTATACAAGAGGTCAGATCTACACTAGAAAAGTTATACGGATATAGCTGTGTCATTGAGGATTGTCACTTTTTACTAGTATAAGCTCTAGTGTGGATACAGTCATACCAGTACAGCTTATGCTGATTCCCAAAAGGCATAAGCTTTACCAATATAAGTACTGTTATACCCATATAAACCTCTTAGCATGGATGCAACTTTGGGTACATCTACAGTACGAAATTATATCGAATTTATATAAGTCGATTTTTCGGAAAAGATTTTATACAGTCGATCGTGTGTGTCCCCACTAAGCGTGTAAAGTCAGCAGAGTGCGTCCACAGTACCGAGACCAGCATCGACTCTCAGAGCAGTGCACTGTGGAAAGCTATCCTAGAGTTCCCACAGTCTCCACCACCTATTGGAATTCTGGGTTAAGCTCCCAGTGCATGATAGGGCAAAAACAGTCTCGTGGGTATTTCTGGGTGCATGTCGTCAGTCGCCCCTCCCTCCATGCAAGCTCTGGCAGACAATCGTTTCGCGCGTTTTTTCTGCCATCGTCAACCGTACACCACTGCTTTCGCTGCCAATCTGTTCTCCTGCTTTCCTGCAGCAGACGGTGCAGTAGGTCTGCAAAACTCTGCTGTCCTGCAACTCATATAGAAGGCCTGAAAGCCATCGTAAACCGTACAGCGCTGCTTCCGCTGCAACTCTGCTCTCCTGCTCTCCTTTGTTTCGCGCCTTTTTTCCTGGATTACCGTGCAGGCACCATAGCACGGCAAGCATGGAGCCCGTTCTGCTCACTGCTGCAGTTGTGACCATTGTAAATACCTCGCGCATTATCCAGCAGTATCTGCAGAACCTGCAAAACCAGGCAAGGAAGTGACGACAACGCAATTACGATAGCGATGAGGACATGGACACAGACGTTCCTAGAAGCATGGCATATGGCGATTGGGACATCATGGTGGCGTTGGGCCAGGTTCATGCCTTGGAATGGCGATTCTGGGCCTGGGAAACAAGCACAGACTGGTGGGACCGCATAGTTTTGCAGGTATGGGATGATTCCCAGTGGCTGCGAAACTTTCGCATGCGTAAGGCCACTTTCATGGAACTTTGTGACTCGCTGTCCCCTACCCTGAAGCGCAAAGATACCAAAATGAGAGCAGCCCTCACAGTTGAGAAGTGAGTGGCGATAGCCCTCTGGAAGCTTGCAACACCTGACAGATACCTGTCAGTCGCGCATCAGTTTGGGGTGGGCAAATCTACTGTGGGGGCTGCTGTGATCTAAGTAGCCAACGCAATCATTGACCAGCTGCTATCAAGGGTAGTGACTCTGGGAAATGTGCAGGCCATTGTGGATGGCTTTGCTGCGATGAGGTTCCCTAACTGTGGTGGTGCGATAGATGGAACGCATATCCCTATCTTGGCACCGGACCACCAGGGCAGCCAGTATGTAAATCGCAAGGGGTACTTCTCAATGGTGCTGCAAGCACTGGTGGATCACAAGGGACGTTTCACCGACATCAAGGTGGGATGGTCAGGAAAGGTGCATGACGCTTATGTCTTCAGGAACTCTGGTCTGTTTGAACAGCTGCAGGAAGGGACTTACTTCCCAGACCAGAAAATTACTGTTGGGGATGTTGAAATGCCTATAGCTATCCTCGCGGACCCAGCCTACCCCTTAATGCCATGGCTCATGAAGTCGTACACAGGCAGCCTGGACAGTCATAAAGAGCAGTTCAACTATAGGCTGAGGAAGTGTAGAATGGTGGTAGAGTGTGCATTTGGCTGTTTAAAAGCGCGCTGGCGCAGTTTACTGACTAGGTTAGATCTCGGCAAAACCAATATTCCAATTGTAATTGCTGCTTGCTGTGTGCTCCACAATATCTGTGAGAGTAAGGGGGAGATGTTTATGGCGGGGTGGGAGGTCGAGGCAAATCGCCTGGCAGCCAATTTCGCACTGCCAGACACCAGTGCGATTAGAAGAGCACAGCTGGGCACGCTGCGCATCAGAGAAGCTTTGAAAACCAG